TGCACATACATGTTTTCTTCTGCTACTCATTTTCATTTTTCGCCGCATGCGCCTCATTACAATTTAATTCACAATGTAATTGCAGCTGAGCAGAAACGAGAGAGAAGACCGAGCTGAAGTTTTGTGTGTTGTCGGCACTTGACACGCGCCTCACATAATTTCCACACACACACATACACACCCACATGTACACAGACAGGGAGTCTCGTCTTATGTGGCACACATACAATTTTAGTTACTTATAAGCACTTGCCCCACTCTTCACCCCTCATAGCCTCTCAAAAGATTTGCATATGCATTTTTGGGTAGTCGAAACGCTGCTGACGTCGCCGTTGCCGTCGTCGTTGCTGTCGGAAATGCGACAACTAAAAATATTACGTCTGACATCGGTTCTTTTGCTGTTTATTTCCTCTACTCAGCATTTCATTGCCCCGCTTCTCCTCTGCTCTCTTCTCGTCTCTTCCCTTCAGGCCTCTGTCATTCCCCGTTGCTATTTGCATATTACTTTTATTCAAATTATATTAAGTAGGCACACAGTCGACAGTTATGGCATGGAATCTTGACAAAAGTCAGAATTCATAATTTCTTAAGCGCTGTGCTTTCAACTACTTTGGGATTTGTAAACCAACTGAAGAGTGGGGCCAGTGGAAACAGTGGGTGGAGGAGCACACTCCATATATGGTATTTATAGTGCTTACATGTCCTGAATGCCTGATGGCATGTCAAAAGTGTATAGAATGCATATATACACCTTCTTGGTGAGCATTCATTATTTTGACTATGCCTTTAATCTACAAAATTTTACGTCCTCCTTGACTACATTATTGCTGCTCATTTCCACTTACTTTAGAGAACTGTGAGGAATTAAGGGAAGGAAGGAAATAAGTGCTTAGGTTGGGTCAAAAGAGATAACCATAAGAGAATTAAATATTATGCAAGCCATAACAACATTTAACATTTGACTTTATTAAAAGATAGCAAAATACACGATAAAATATCATATTTCCACATGCTTTACCTACTCATATTTTCTCCATATATTTAAGCATAACTCTTAATTTCTTTAATTTATAAACTTCTTCAAGCTCATCATATCAACAGCTTATCTTGATAGCTTAGTCTTTGCTCAACTCCCTTGGCTCATCGTTGTCTTCAAATTTAAGCTTTGCGCGTTATGCAACACTGAGCCGCCGCCCCCAGTCGCAGTGTTGCCCTAATCGAAATTGTTTGCATTTTTGGCACGTACCAAAGAAGAAAAAAAATCAGCATAAAAAGCTCTTAACAAAATGTCTTCAAAATGAAGTAGCCCAAAGAGATTGGACTGCATGCTGTGGGTGGTTTCTCTCTCTCTCTCTCTCTCTCTCTCTCTATCTCTCTGAGTATGTGTGTGTGTGCATAAAGCGGAGTAAATGCATCGCCAAAGTGCCACAAAACGATCAACGCTAACCGCCCACTTGATAGACGTAATTTTGGGGACAAGTAAGTAAGTAAGCCCCACGTTTCCCAGCCAACCCGCCCGACTCAGCTGGCCAAGTGCTGTGCATTTAAATGTTCGTTTTGTTGTTGGCTGGCAGGAAAGCTTCGCCTAATGACAACCACTTGCGGCTGTCAAATGCAACTCTGGGGCGTGCCACGCAGCGCTGTAATATTTTATGCGTGTGCGGTTGCCGGGGCAGGAGGATGTTGCTAGCTGCAGCTGCAAGCTTTTTGTTTTTACCCAACAATGGCATATGAATGCATTACCAGTGCACACATACACACACACACACACACACTCGCAGCCCTCCACCCAGCCTCCCAGCCAGCACTTTCATTTTACTTGGTCACAAATGTCCTCGTCGTCGTCGTCGTCGTCGTCGTCGTCGTCTTTGCCTCTTCCATGGCCCTGACGACTGCTGCTTCTGCTCATTTGGCAGCGCTGGCGGTTGTGGCAACACGCTCTCAACTATTCCCATTCTCCTCCTGCCACTCGTCGCATTCATAATTTCCACATTAACCTTATTTTCCAGTTATGCATGAGTGCGAAAAAATTGTCACCAGCCCAAGATGGGTTTTACGACTCGCCTCTGATGGATTTTAAATGAACTTTAACACATGCCATGTGCCCGAGCGACCCCTGCCGCTGCCCCACAAAATGGGCGTTGGCTAAGTAATTGGTTTTGACTAGGGCAGTCCTCGCCCAAATTACCTTTAGTTGGCACTGATAAAGAAAAACAGCAATAGAAGCAGCAGCAACAACAGCACCATGTTTCCACTAAGCAAATGAGGCTAATCAACAAAGTTCCTTTGGAAACTTGTAAATTCTGGGGCACTCTAATGAGATAGTTCGCCAGCACTTCCGATGCAGACTTATGAAATTCTTGCCAAGCACTAAAAACAAAAATAAATTACTGCGATCAATTTGTAGCAAACTTTAAACTAATCTCAAATATAGAAGAGTTAAAGTAAAATTGCTTAAAAGCTATTTCAGAGACAAAAGCTTGTGCTAGAAACTATATAGAGGAAACACATTTCTCTTACTCAAACAGCACTTTGCTTTTAAGTAGACGAATATACCGAATATGCCAGGCTGAGCACAATGAAAGTTGGATAAAAATGGCTAAGCGTTAAATCATAATGAATAAATACCCTAGAATTTCTTTAAAACTGAAGGCAATCTCTTGCTTAATCTTGAGCTTAAATATCTTGGAAAAAAATAATCACATTTATTTATTTATTTTGTATGTTTTTTTTTTTTTTTTTTTTTTTTNTTCTGGGGCACTCTAATGAGATAGTTCGCCAGCACTTCCGATGCAGACTTATGAAATTCTTGCCAAGCACTAAAAACAAAAATAAATTACTGCGATCAATTTGTAGCAAACTTTAAACTAATCTCAAATATAGAAGAGTTAAAGTAAAATTGCTTAAAAGCTATTTCAGAGACAAAAGCTTGTGCTAGAAACTATATAGAGGAAACACATTTCTCTTACTCAAACAGCACTTTGCTTTTAAGTAGACGAATATACCGAATATGCCAGGCTGAGCACAATGAAAGTTGGATAAAAATGGCTAAGCGTTAAATCATAATGAATAAATACCCTAGAATTTCTTTAAAACTGAAGGCAGTCACTTGCTTAATCTTGAGCTTAAAAATCTTGGAAAAAAATATTCACATTTATTTATTTATTTTGTATTTTTTTTTTTATAATTTTTTTTTTTTTCTTATAAGATTGAGTTTATATGAAAGCTTTTCAGTTTATTCTTCCCCCTAATTACAGCGCATCTATGAGTACATCATTCCTTGTCATCTCTCACAATTTGCATGGCCGAACAAATACTTTCACCATAATAGCTTTCTCAATGCCCATACACAAAATGTGTTCCATTGTCTGGCAAACATTTTCTTATCTAAAAACTAGAGCCTAGCACACATACATATACACACACACCCAACACCCACACACACATGCTTCGCAAGGCAGCTAACTGCAACTGAAATGCATTTTCTTGTGCCGTTTTTTTTGGCCATTTGTTGTCCTGTTATGCATTCATTCATTTCCAGTATCTTTTGCATATTCTTTATGTTCATTTCTTGAGCAGTGACACATTCATTTGAATTACTTCCTGCCAGCAATGAGTGCCACCCTCAAACTGGTCCACCCAGATGCCCAAAAAAAAGAAACTCTTTTATATATAAATAGAAGCTTGAAGCCATTTCGTTTGCTCATTTATAAGCAGCACATGTGCGCCTGATGTGATATGTCTAGAAAGGCTCAGTTGCTATTATCCCCGGAGTCAGCATAGTGGAGCAGTGCAGCAGTGGGCGCTGTCTTTATGTGGGCGTGGCACTGTTCACATTTAGTGTGTGCCAAATGCACATTTAATAACGTAATTTCTGAAGCGTGCAGAAGATATTTTTGGAATTTAGTTTCTTTCTACAGCAACTTTCTGCTTCATCTTGCAGGCTCCAAACAAAGTCTCACTTATACATTTATATATGTGAAATATATATGTGTGATATACCTATGTATATCGCTGTGTGAGTGTGTCGCCTCGACGTGAGGATGTCGCACAACTTTTTAGCCAAATTTGCATATGCAACTGACGATGATGACGTAGCCTGAAGCAGCAGGAATTACCAACTGGATGGCACTAGAAGTAGCTGCTGGCTCTAGTCCTGCGACTGTCTGACTGCCCGTCTCTCAGTCACTAACTCTGTCTACAATATTCCCGTCTACTTCTGAGTGTCTATGTGTGTGTGTGTGTGTGTGTGTGTGTATAAAAAGCTACGCCACTTTTATGCAAATAATGTCTTCCAGGAATTTTTGTTATTTATAGTTAAGATACCAAACGTGTGGATGCCTCATATCTAAAAGTGTGCATTAGTAGCTATGTATGTAGTTGCATATATGTGTCTCTCTCTGTGTGTGTGTGTGTATTTATTTGATAGTATGTGTTGCACTTCAAGTTATACAAGTTATAGCTTCATTGCTTCAGCCAAGTTTTTCACCTTAGCCAGCTAGGCGTTGTAGAAGCAGTGAGAGGCGATAGCACAAGCTCAACTATCTAAGGTTAGTTGCCTTATCTCCCTATGCATGCATATAGATATGTATATGATAATATATATATACATACGTATATATGTGAGTGTGTCTGTATGCTTATAGTTTGTCTCGCAGTCAAATTACATTTTGGAGCTCATAAAAAATAGCTATTAAAGTTTTTGGCAGTTGATTTTGATATGTGTTGACTCATGCTAGCATGACCCATTGCTTCCAACTACATGCTCATAATTTAAATTGGCATTTCTATTAACTTATGCGAATTCCCTTTTGATACCCAAAAGAAAAGAGAAAGAGATAGAAGCTCATCAACTGTACATTCAACTGTATTAGTGTCTCCACTCAATATTGACTTATTTTCCTTTACATTTGCCAACAAGTTTTCACTGTCAAATTCTCAATTTCCAGAGTAAATAAAAGACGTATGCATACATATATTAATTAATTTTCTTCACTTACCTAATTCCACATATAGTTTTGGTCGTATATTCTCCTGCCAGGCACTTTGATTACCAATCACGAAGAGTGTCAGTAGTAGGAAGACTTGCATCCATCCAGAGTTTGGGGCTAGTGTTTTTGCACTTTGCAGATGCATTTTGTGGCTTTTGTTATTGTTTTGCTGTATTGTTTTATTAACCGAGTTGTGGAAATTTAACATTTTCTATTTTGTATTTTGCATAAATTTACTTAATTTTCCTTGCTGTAAATATTTTATTTGTTGCGGTCAGCACGACGGTGTCTGTGTGTGTGAGAGTGTGTGTGCGTTTTAGTTGGATTTGTATGAAATTTATTTTATTTACTGAGTTGAGTGCGTGTTCATAGGTTTTCTATTAAATTGATTTCATTTACTGATTCTGATTTACTTACTATTTAAACGCTATGTATATATGGCAAATATAATTTTGTATTTTTTTTTTTTATTTTACTTTTCACTTTATTTTAACAAATTTCTCAACAAAGTTAATAAAAACTGAGCGGTTTATATATTTACTTTATTTATGATTTTATTTTGTATTTTTTTATTTTTGTTTTTTAATTGGAACAACTAGTTGTAGAGTTTTGAAGTCATTCTGTAATGAGATAAATTGAGATAAATTGAATTAAAATGTGAATGGAATAATGTGTGTATATTTATAATCGTATATTTTATACATAAAAAATTAAATTTTTTCCGATTTCAGTTGACTACGCAAACAGAGGCTCAACTATTGTTTGGAAATTTTGATTATATATAATTTTATATATATT